GACGATTATTGTTATTTATATTATTTATATTTATTATACTCATTTATTGTTATTATATTAATAATGATATTATAGTTTAATAACTATTACAGTATATAATCATTGGTGTTTCATTTCTAATAGTTAAATTAATTATGTCGGTATGCACAAAAATATGAAGCACAACTGTTTTCAACATTGATCTAATAATAATAATAATAATAATAATAATTGGTGTGTAATTAATACAATTAACAATCCATTTTTCAGATATAACAATATTATTATTATTAATATTTTTGTTTATTATGGTATTTATTTACTTTATTTAATTAAGCAATTATTTAATTGCTTATTTGTTATATTTAATTGTAGTATTAATAGAATTAATCATGTTATAATATTATAATTCTAGTAATAATAGTTGTTTTATTATTTATAATATTTATATTAATTATCATGATGGTTTGCACAAAAATATTAAGCAGCACAACTGTTTTCAACATAGATAATAAAAAGAAATGTTTCTTGAGCAGCAAATCATGTAACACACATAAAATACTTTCTAAACTGTAACTTCCTATGTTTGGTTTTAATAAACTAAGGAATGAGTTAAAACTATTTTCTGTGATAATCGATAAGAATTCCTTTAAGAAATGTCCCACATTTCTGGAATGTCTGTCGGTCAATATTTAACTCTTGAACAAAATGTTTAACACTCACATTCATGAGCCTGCATTGTGTCTTTGCTCTTATACATAGAGTTTGGCGTTTACTGCTGCCACTGTCGCAGTCAGGCCCGCGGCACCCAGTGCGCCGTCTGCAAGCGCTTCACCTTCCAGTGCGCCATCTGTCACGTGGCCGTACGCGGCTCTTCTAACTTCTGCCTGAGCTGCGGCCACGGAGGACACACCAGTCACATGATGGACTGGTTTCGCTCGCAAGAGGTCTGTCCCACCGGCTGCGGGTGCCACTGCCTGCTGCAAAGCACTTTCTGAACATTACAAACAATAAAAATAATAAGCCGGGTATAAAATAATAAGCTCAAGATAAGCCTCAAAACTCTTAGTACTGTAGCAACTCGTCGGCATATTGTATGGGAATAGACTATGAACTTTTACCATTATTTGGAAACTGTTCAATATTTTCACAGTATGTACGATTATGCATATTAGAGTTTCAGACTGGATTCATAATATCATCCACTTAGAATGTTTATTTTTTTAATGAATAAGCCCGGAACATTTGCAAGTATAATCATAAATAAAAGCAAAGCTGTAATGTTGACATTTCTATGCAGAGGGAGGGAATAGAATAGGCAAGTTTATATCTGTACCACATTTAATTCTCTGACTCAAAATCCAAACTATAATATTTAAGGTTATTTCTTATTATTCATTTTCACATTACATTATTATATTATATAATATGATTATACTATATATTATCGATAATAACAAGAAACTGCATGTGCTGTGGGAAAATCTGCGGAAATTATGCTGAGCAGATACATTTCAACTTTTATTTTCTCCCATAAACCAGAGGAAGTGTTTTGAAAAGCCATCAGAATCACCCTTATTTGAACAGTTCTCCAAGGTATTGTTCCCACATGGCTAATCTGGATGCAGAGGACTACTGAGAACCTAATAATAGCATGTTATATAAAAGAGATATGTGTCCTCCACCAAACTATAATATTTAAGGTTATTTATTATTATTCATTTTCACATTAAATTATTATGATATAGTATATTATATTATATTATTATACAACAAATAAATACATTTTAAACAAATAAACAAACTTGAAGACTTAAAGGTTATAATACAGACCAAATTATGCCTTATATCTAACACCACAAACAGCACACAGAATGTTATGATTCACATGATTTCAGTAGTAAAATTGGATGTTTTTTATGGAGTCTGTGTGCTAAATCCTCCGCAGTCAGCAGTGAAGCCCGATCTGATCTCTCATCAAGGTTTCTGAGGCGGTCTCGAAATTACTGATCCCACTATGACGAAGGCCAACCTGATGAATATTAATTTAGTCTTGCATTCAGACGTTGCTTGGTAACATTCCTGGAGTGTCCGTCTACTCAACTTAATTAATATTCACAATCTATGCCTTCTGCATAGTAAGATTCGTTTATTGGACAGGTGTTCGAGGCTTATTTACAAACGTCAGTAATTCAGCCAATCAACAAAGCTTACTGGGCTCGCGTCACATGGCTCATTAATATTCATGAGCAAAGCCGTCGCCGTAGTAGGTTTGGCCGCTCAGCGCTGAGTCTTCAGCAGCAGGAGGAGAGAGAGGAGCTTGATTCAGCTGTTTGTGGCCGAAGATGGCGGAGTGTGGACGTGTTCAGCAGCTGCTGCTCCTCTTGTCTCTCTGCCTTCTCACCGTACAGGCTCTTAAACCTCTTCCAGGTTTCGGGAATGTCCATCCTCCGGCTGCAGCTATGCACCAGCAGTTCAGAGCCGCGCTACCGAATCCCGGGAATAACGCCGCCGCCGCGTCCTCCGGTTCTCAGTCTAGAAGATCTACCGGCTGGAAGCTGGCAGAAGAACAGGCCTGCCGGGACGACGTGACCCGGCTGTGTCCAAAACACACCTGGACAAATAACCTGTCTGTACTGGAATGCCTGCAGGACAAGAAGGAGGTGAGCAGCACCCCTAATGATGACGATGATTGTATATAATGTGTGTATAATAATTATTAACAAATACATAATAATAATATAATTTTATTTATAATTTAGGTATTTTATTTATCATTTTATATAATTAAATGTATTATTTTATTTTATTATAATAATTATAATTATATAATGAATATTTGTAATTTATAATATATTATATTTTATGTTATAATTTTAAATAATTGAATTTTCATATATTAATAGGATTAATTACGATTACTATATAATTGTATTATTGATAATAGTAACATTTGTGATTTTATTATGATGATTATTATTGTTTTTATTATTATTATTATTATAAACTTGAACACAGGGTGAATACTTTTATCTCCTATTATTTGGCTTTTTGAATTTCACACTGATTAGTGAAGTTGAGAGGATATAAGCTTTCCAGATCCAAACTCCTTTTGGAACATTTCAGTTCATTTATTACCAATGTATCCATTTATCTATTCATTTATAGCCGATATTAAAGGCTTCATAAAATGCCTTGTTGTCTGTCTGCCCTCTGAAGACCAAGGAGGTCCATAGCACCTGATGAAAGCTAAATGTGAGCATTCCTGTTTATCTCAGTAGCAGTTTCTCAGTTCTGCTGCCAGGTTGTTTTCAGCCAATAATTTGAGCTGTAAATATCACGTGACCAATTACTGTGGAGCTGCAGGAAAATGACATCCTGACAATGACGATTGACTCTCTCAAGCCCTTCACTGGTGACTAGAATCAACTTCCTCATGGAGTCTTTACTAGCAGGTGCATACGCTCTGAATGGATATTTAAATCTATATATAGGTATGCAAACGTTTTAATTTTTCTTCGGCTTTTATACAGCTGCACAAGCACAGACCTTTAATGTGGATTGGACTAATTTAAGAACAAGCTTAAAATCTAGTAACTAGATTTGTCTTTTGTAGTTTGCCATGCCGTGCTGTTTGACACAGTGACCTAGATGAGGAAACTTTTGTTCAGACACAGCAGATGCCCTGCGATAAGTTTATTGTTGGAATAAAGTTTGATCGGCATGATCAAACTCTTACAAATAATCCAATAACACTTACAAAATCCATCTAATATGTACACAAATCTAACTAATAATCTAACAAAAGGAGAATTCTGAAACACTTTCCAAGCGCTCAGTGACCAGGGGGTGGCAAGCACCAACAATGACATTATTATTATTATTATTATTATTATTATTATTTATACTTTATTGTCTTTTCATTCAATTCATTTATTTTATAAAGTAATTCTTCACTTTTTCTTCTCCTTTATTTTCTTTAAATTTTTTTTCGTTTTGTGGTAATATAAATATTAAAGTCTCATATTATCTCATATATTATCTCATATAGTCTCAATAAAGCTTTGTGTATATATATATATATATTCCAAGTTTTCTATAGCCATGCAGTAGTTTTGTGTGATAAACAGATTTTCTCTGAAAAACAGTCACTAGATATGCAAAAACAATGGTTTATGACACTTGTCTTGATGCAACGTATTTGAATATATGCAAATTAATTTAAATTCGAGAACTACTTTATCAGTGAGTAATTTGTTTACACTTTACACAGACTTTACACAAACTATCATGTGGCTGCTCACCTGTAATATAGTGTACAAGTCAAACTAACTATTTTTAAAGGGTTAGTTCACCCAAAAATGAAAATTCTGTTATTAATTACTCACCCTCATGTCGTTCCAAACCCGTAAGACCTTCATTCATCTTCGAAACACAAATTAAGATGTTATTTTTTGGAAATGCAATATATTCTGGACAAGTATCATAGTAGTATATATGGAAAGTATTTATTTTTTAGATGTTTGCAATGCATTTTTTGGACATGTATCATGGAATTATATATGTATATATATGTATAGTATTTATTAATTAAAACAAATATTTTTTTTGGAGGATTGCAATACAGGTTTTGGGCAGGTATTGTGGTAGTATATGTATATATTGTTTATCCACAAATCCACAATTTAAACAAGTATCATGGTAGTATATAGAGTATTTATTAATTTATTTGTTTATTTATTTATTTGGAAAAACATTTTTGGACAAGTAACTTGGTAATATGTATTATATGCATAGTAATCAAACAATGCGATGATATATGTGACCCTGAACCACAAAACCAGTCTTAAGTCGCTGGGGTATATTTTTAGCAATAGCCAAAAATACATTGTATGGGTCAAAATTATTGATTTTTCTTTTATGCCAAAAATCATTAGGATATTAAGTAAAGATCATGTTCCATGTAGATATTTTGTAAATTTCCTACTGTAAATATATTAAAACTAAATTTTTGAT